GAAAGTTGCTAACCCTTTACAATGAAATAAATGCTTCTATTTATACCCGCCAATGGGCAGGTGGCTACGCTGACGCTGAGGCCTGTGGGCCGCTGGTGTCCCAACCACCAAATCTTCAGCATTAAATGCACTTCCCGCCAGAATCTAGGTTTCCCGCCTAAATAGTGGGGACGTTCGTCCGTCCGGGAAGCGAGCTGGATTCCCCCATGTGCCCCTTAAGAGGCTTCGGCAGTTCGTCACCTGGCCTTAATGGATTCTCACCATGTGGACTGGATTCCCTCCGATAATTATAGGCTTGCTCTGGGGACGTTCGTCGTCATCCCTGATGGCCCGTGGTCCTGCTCCTTGTCCCTGCACAGACGTTCGTCGCGAAGGGCCATTGAACCTGAACCCCCCAATCCCAGACGTCCGTCTCTTTCCAAGGATCATGGGCCTGCGTCCATCCTGGTGTTTTAACCGGACGTGCGTCCGATAAAAAAGGGGTTAATGGGCCGGACCTCGGCCTGGGCCATTATCCCAACAAGCTCGAACTGGGACAGATGCTCCAGTGGCGACATTTACCAACCTCGGAAATTTTGCATCAAAGTAAGAATCCATAGTTGTAAGAGGACTACACGACATATGTTGTGATGCACCTGTGTCAATGATCCAAAAATTATCTAAGTGTGGTAAATTACGTGATGTAATACCAGCAAAATTAGCATGGGAGATGGACTCAGGATTTGTTGGCTCAGAATTCTGGTTTGGAGCAGGTAGCAGCGGGGAGGCACTAGCATGTAGGGATGCACCTGGAGTACTACTGGCACGAGCCCGATGCCCTCGGCGGTGTGCAACATCATCCATGGTTAGCATACGACATGTCCACCATGGTGGATACCCATTAAGAACAAAACAAGTGTCACGGCCGTGACCAGTCCCATCATAAGCAGGATATCGGCTTCGAGGAAAAGAATTCTGTGTGGGAAATATGCATTTTTCAGCAGCCTCAAAACTGGTTCGAGAAGAACTGGAATTCTGCCTTGTTGCTATGTTATTGCCAAAAGCAGTTGTTTTGGAACCTTTGGAACCTCCTGCCGCACCAGTATGTTTATCCAACGAAAAATGCAGTATTATTATTGTTTTCAACACTGTAAACGTTAACCGCACGCTGATCCTCTTCACTCCTAACTAAGGAGAAGACAACAGAGAGTTCTGGCAAAGGTTTGGTTGCAAGGATTGAACTCTTCGAATTTTTAAAAGAGTCATCCAAGCAAACTAAAAATTTGAATACCTTTTTAGATGAAAGTTTACGGAGTGTGTTCTTATGTGCATCACACGTGCACCCGTCGCAAGAGCAAACTTCTGTGGGATCTTGGACTTCCAAATCCTCATAGAGTTCGATCAGTTTGTTGTAGTAGTTTGTCACACTCCAGAAACCTTGCTTCAAATCACCAATTTCACGTTCAAGGCGATAAATCTCTGTGGTGTTGTCTTGTGTGAACCTAGTCTGAATCTCTTCCCATAATTGTTTAGTCGTTTTACAGTATTTAAGACTACTAACCAAATTAGTTTCTATAGAGCCAAACATCCAAGAGAGAACCGCCGCGTTTGCTCGATCCCAGTATTCTGCCAAAAGTGGGTTCTTTGCCGGTCGCGGTACAGTCCCAGTAATGAAACCAAATTTGTTCTTCATGAGTAGCGCCAAATGCATATTGCGTTCCCGTGCGAGATAGTTATTTCCATTCAGAACTATAGATATTAACTTTGTATAAGGACTGTCACCAGGGTGAAGATAATATGGAGATTGTGCGTCAATGGTGACTGTGGTAGCATCTGTGTCGTTCGCCGATTCAACCATGATACGGAGCTGCTCACGATGAGTATCTATGGAAGATCCGTGAGCGGCAGAAAATTTACGCTAGGGTTAGGGAGAAAAGGCTCTGATACCATGTGAATAAAATAGAATGGCCAACTTACTTCATTATTGAGTAAATACAAGTATATATACAAGTATAATTAGGGACTAAAATGAAATAATTAAATAACAACTCTATACTAATATATATACTAAATATCACATAAGTCCACAGAGGGAAAGGGAAAGAAAGTATCCACGGAGCCCAAGAGGAGAATGGATTACATAGACTTATGTCTATGTTTAGAAGGAGAAACCTATTTGAGCATTCTAATGGAACTAAAACATATGTACTTGATCGGGTACCGGAAGACACCAGAACCTGGTGCACGAAAACCGCTACCGTGGACTATTTTAGGTGAAAAGGTCTTCACACATTCTGTAGAGTCAAGTGATCCGTTAGACTACACTCATATGGGGCGGGCTGTTGGCATAGATAAGTTATGAAAAACATTCTTAAACATTGAAATGGTTAGAGTAGGAATTAAGAAATTGGTGGAATTTAATATTACTGGAAAAAATACTGAGGCGAAGTTGAGAATTACATCTATATTTCTCTTAGTACAAATGTTTTGTGAGTCGGTTCGGTTTCAGGATGAAGTTGGGGAACGTGTTCGACTCTACATCAGAAACCACGGAGAAAGCTTTGATCCCGACAGTTCTATGTACAGTTGTGTGCGAAGCTGGGAAGCACTTTCCCATGATTTGATATACAATATAGGTGTTTGGAATTCACATTGGGCAAAAATGGATGAAGAGCGCCTTAGTTATTTGAAAAGAATTTGTAGAATTTTATCTCTTGTGCTCAGTCCTATCTGGTGTACAAAGATAATGTCAATGAAACACAACTATTGACTCAGAAATTTGGCCTACCCGTAGATAGTATATGAGTTGTCCGTGTTGGTGATCTTCCAGAAACAACCCCCATTGCAGTTGTGCCGGAAACAACCCCCATTGCAGCTGTGGTTAAGTGGTTAACTCTTCTCCTTGAAAGAAAGTCTTGCTTGCTGTGAAAACGTGTGATAGGTGATTGGTCCCTATTGTTTGAGAAAGTCATATCTTCTGAACCAGCTTCTTTCCCTTTATTAACTTGATATTCACGTTTTCTTGATAAATTGAGCAATACTGTTAAAAAACTAAGTTTAATGGGGTGAGTAAAAATTGAAGTCTACATAGACCTACTACTGTATCGAAAAAGACTGTTTGACCAATTGTAGGAGTTCAGGTGTGTCCGTGTGTGTGACTAGTTATATTGTATGGCCTATAGGTCCTAAAATTGTTAGCCACATTAATTTATTTTTGTGTACATAATATTTTTTGGTGTAACATTTTTTGTCTTGTACGTAGTAGCTGCTTTAGATTAGAAATGATATAATCATTTATTTCCTTTCCTTTCTTTCTCCAAAAGACACACATGGAAAGTACCTTGTATAGCAGTACTCGAGTGTGCATCTGTATCTGTATATATGCTGGCATCGGTTTTGTGAGATGGGCAGAATAAAGAAAATATTCCCAATATTGCATAGTAATTTAACATGGTATCAGAGCCAATTCCGGTTGTGGCAAATTTTTATTAAAATGATGGAAAACTGTAAGGTTTCTGCATCAAAAGAAAAACTTCCAGGTATGAAATTTCATAACGAATGGCTTCTTGACTCCGGCGCGTCGTACCACATGACCGGGAATGACAACGCGCTAACGGAGATGGTGAAAATATCACCGGTGACAGTTACTTTTCCGAATGGTGATCACACCCAGACAACACACGTGGGGAATATGGCTATCAGTGGAAGCTTGAAATTGATCAATGTTTTGCTAGTTCCCCGATTAAAATGCAATTTAATTTCCTGGGGAAATTAATTGATAATAAAAATGTGACATATTTTTTACTAATGATTTATGTGTAATACAAGACCTACCTACGATGATGCCGATTGGAGTGAGTGAACGACGAGGGGGAGTTTATTATTTCTTATTATCTCCGGGGTCTAGATCAAGCACGAGTGCATGCAGTAGGGAGTTCGGACTCAGGAAATTTGTGGCATTTGAGGTTGGGACACCCGCTGTGTTATTTAATCGGCGAGTACTCGGCGAGTACTCGGGGAGTACTCGCTACTCGGCCTCCTACCTTGCAGAGTAGGACCTTTACTCGGCCCGAGTTAATTATCCGAGTTACTCGGCGATTACTCGGCGAGTTAGGCTACTCGGTGAGTTGGTCAAATAAGCGAGTTACTCGGTACTACTCGGTATATAAAAAAAAACTTGCGCACTAAACCTAAAACCTTAAGCGGTCATATTTTGAGGCTTCGACCAGTGCTGCGACATCTTTAGGAGCTGCGACTGGCAGTCTAGGTCATCTTTTGGGGCTTCGATCAGTGCTGCTTCATCGTTTCGACCAGTTCTACTGTGCTGCTGGGAGTCACCTGCGAGTGCTACAGGGTTGTTGCGACTCTGCGAGGTGCTACAGGTAACTCTTTCCCTCGTTTCTTTTTCCTCTTGTTACTGAGGCATTATGTTCCTTTTATTCTATGAATCTATGTATTAAGCTTTGGCTTTTATATTAAGCTGCCAGTTCCTTAGTTATTATGTATTAAGCTTTGATTTTTATTCATATATTAAGCTGTCAGTTCCTTGTATTAAGCTGCCAGTTCCTTAGTTATTATGTTACTGAGGCTGTCTCGTTTCTTGTTGTAGTAGTAGTAACTAGTTACCAAAAGTGAATCATTTTATTAACAAGCTCTTACAGATGTCTCTGTAATCTAAAAGTTATATAGATGAATGTAAATATTAAAAGAGTTAACACTCTTATTTGGGCTTTGGTTAAAGAACTAAAGCAGAAAAGTGTTGTTTGAAAACCATGGAGTTTGCATAATACATCCCAGTGAAACGCTTGCATTTGATTTCTTAAACAATGCCTTAAGGGCACTTTGTTTGCTTTCACCCCAGTAACTCCTTAATCTTTCTGTTAAGTTATTTTGTTATTCAAACTGCTGCAACCAAATTTGTTTGATTTTTAGTATTATATTAAGCTGCCAGTTCCTTGTATTAAGCTGCCAGTTCCTTGATGATCATTTATTTAAGCTTACTAACATCCTTGAATTTACAGTCATGAACTCTGATCAGTCTGGTTAGGCCTCTAATGGTGCTGAATCTGCTGCTACTACACTTAAGAGAAAATCAGATGATATAGGATGGACATGGGGAGAGAATAGAGATCCTACTAATAAATCTTTAGTGTGGTGTAATTTTTGTGATAAGAAAATGTCTGGAGGATTCACCGTCTTAAAGAACACCTTGCACATGTTAAGGGAAGTGTTTCTTCTTGTACCAAGGTAACCAATGAAGTGATGAAGATAGTTGCAAAATCATTACTTGAAAAAAAATCTGCCAAGGCAAAGAAAGCTAGAGTTGACACTATAATTAAGAGGGAAAATGCTTTCCTGGATGGGGATGATGAAAGTGAGCTTGGTGATGATGGTGATGGCCAAACTGAAGGTGGACACACAACTTCAATCTTTACAACTGGGCAAGGCAGTGGCACAAATGCTTCTAAGACGAGAATTAAACAATCCAATGTTAGAGGATCATTGGATACCTTACTAAAGCCCGACCATGAGAAGATGAAACAATCAACGTTGGATAAAAATAATCCAACTAAGCTGAAATTGAAGGAGATTGCTTGGGATAAATTTGCCGAGTGGGGATATGAGGTTGGGTTAGCTTTTAATGCCGTTAGAACACCAAGCTTTCAGGCCTTTATTCATGCAGTTGGAGATTACGGAAGAGGTAAATAAACTGAAATTTTATAATAGCCTTAATTTTTAGTCCAATAAACTGAAATTTTATTCTTTATATCTTGTCATTCTTTTTCAAGGTATGCCTTCACCTAGCTATCATCAATACCGTCATACTCTGTTAAACAAGCAGCTTGTCAAAACAAAAGAATTTGTTGAATCATTCAGAACACACTGGAAGACATATGGATGCTCTATTATGTCAGATTTTTGGACAGATGGTAAAGGAAGGGCATTGATCAACTTTTTGGTAAACTGTCCAAAAGGAACAATTTTTTTGAAGTCTGTAGACGCATCTGAGCATGTGAAAGATGCAAATCTCATTGTGGGGCTGATTAATGAGATTATTGAACATGTGGGAGAGGAGAATATAGTTCAGGTGATCAATTATAAATTCTATATCTATTGTCTATAGATTAACTTATAGTCATTTATTAATTAATACTAATTTCAGTTTTTTTTCATGTTAAATGTTAATAGTTCATCACCGATAATGGATCTAACTTCAAGGCAGCGGGAAGGATTTTAGAAGAACAACATCCTAAGATGTTTTGGACCCCTTGTGCTGCACATTGTGTGAACTTGATGTTGCAAGATCTTGGTGATAAGTTGCCCAAGATAAAAAATGCTTTACGTGAAGGTAAAGCAATGGTTGTTTATATATATAATCATGTGAGGATATTGAGCCTAATGCGAAAGTTAACAAGCGGGAGAGAGTTGCATAGATCATGTGTAACCAGGTTTGCTACTGCGTTTTATACTCTTAAGAGTATTTGGGAGAATAGGTGTCATTTGCAAGTTTATTTGTTTCTGAAAAATGGACCAAAAGTGAGTTTGCACAGAAGGCTGATGAAAAAAAATTGCAAGAATAGTGGCAAGGCAGGCTTTTTGGGATAATGTTTATTTTACTTGTCAAGTCCTGGCTCCACTGGTTGATGTCATAAGATTGGTGGATACAGAAGAGAAACCTAGTATGGGTTATATTTATGAATCAATGGATAGATCAAAAGACCAAATTGAAAAGAATCTTGGGAATGACCATTTCACTTGTGCAAAAGTATGGCAGACAATTGATAATAGATGGAATAATAAATTCCATCATGCTTTGCACGCAGGTACAATCTGTTTTCCATTTTTTTTGTACTGTAATCTTCTTTCTCTTGTTTCATAGTTTAATAAAATTGTTTATTATGAGTGTTCTTTACATTTACAATTTGTCTTCCATTGTTTTTCATTGTTTTTTACAATCTGTTTAACTAGTTTTGACTGTTGCAAGTATTTGTTTTTTGACTATTGCTAGTATTTGTAGTTTTACAATCTGTTTAACTAGTTTTTACTATTGTTTAAAACTAGTTCTTACTTCTGTTGTTTCATAGTATTAAGTTTTGACTACTGCAAGTATTTGTTTTTTGACTATTGCAAGTATTTGTTATTTGTGTTTTAATACTAAATTAATATTTAATAATATAGTTTCATTATGAGTCTTGTGCAGCCGGTTATTACCTAAATCCAAGCATATTTTATAAGCATGATCTGGCGAAGATGGAGTCAAACAAAGAGATAAAAGCCGGGCTCTTTAAAGCAATACAAAAGCTCGTAGATGAAGATACACTTGACAGTATTAGCAATGAGTTGGTACTCTACAGATCTGCAAGTGGATCTCTGGGATCAACTATGGCTGTGAGAGCTAGGGAAAAAGTCCCACCCAGTAAGTTTCCATCTTGAGTATTAATTTATCATCTTTCATTTTTATTTACTTAGTATTGTGTAAATTAGTTTTAATTTAATTAATTCAATAATTTGCAGATGAATGGTGGCTTTCATATGGGTCTGATGTGCCAAATCTCCAAATGTTTGCACTCAAGGTTTTGAGTCAAACCTGTAGCGCCTCACCATGTGAGCGTAATTGGAGTGCCTTTGATCATGTGAGTCACTAAGTATAGTAGTATTGAATATACTTGAGTTACAGCGTATTAACTTATATATCTACATGAGCCAGTAAGGTATTATGGTTAATGTATTTTACTATTTTTTCATGTGTAACATTTTAGATACATTCAAAGAAGAGAAACCGTTTGCTGCAATCAAAGTTAAATGATCTTGTCTACATCCAGTACAACAAAAAACTGCAGCAACGATTCTTTGAGAGAAAGCACAACGTTGGCAGTAAGAGTTATGATCCTATATTCTTAAGGGAAGTTGATGAAAATGATGATTGGGTTGTTCCAGATGATGAAGCGCTTCAAGACCTTGACAATCAAGGTGATGATCTGACTTGGGAACAAGTATGAGCAGCACAACAAGCAACTGAGGCACGGACAAACACCAGGAGCCAAAACAGAAGGGAGAATGTGAATGCATCACAGTCTGCGTATAGACTGCTTGATATTGATTTAGATGACCCGGAAGTGGAAGAGGAAGAACAAGTGGGGAATCTGACTACTGAAGATCTATTTGGTGAAGATCTATTAGGGGACATGGAGGATGAAGAAGAAAATCACGACCCTGAACCTAATGAAGATTAATATCAGACCAACTTATTAGATGATTGACTGCTTTATCACTTTTGCTTTATGACTTTTGCTACTCCATCATTAGGATAACAGGATTTCTATCCTTTTATTCACTTCTATGCATTTTAAGATAATTTAAAGACTACTATATTTTTATAATTTCAGGAACCTATATTTTTATATTTAATTAATACTAGGTCGAGTAATCACCGAGTAATCCCGAGTAATCGGTCCTACTCGCTACTCGGCCCTTGACCGAGTTGCTACCGAGTAGCGAGTAAAAAACAATTTTTGAATAAAACTTTGTTGGATTCTGTTCAAAATAAAACGTGTGATGCTTGTATGCGAGGCAAACACACTCGTGATAGTTTTGATGCTAGTGGTGCTAGAGCTGTTGAACCATTCGAGTTAATTCATTGTGATGTTTGGGGTCCATATCGTGTTATGTTCTCTTGTGGTGCGCGCTATTTTTTGACTGTCGTGGATGACTTTTCTAGGGCTGTGTGTGGGTACACCTGATGCGAGAGAAAAGTGAAGTGAAAAATATCCTAAAACAATTTTTGGCCATGGCTAATCGACAATTTAACAAAAATGTGAAAATTGTGCGAAGTGACAATGGAAAAGAATTTGTAAGTCTCAGTGAATATTTTCTGAACAATGGGATAATATTTCAAACATCCTGCGTTTATACCCCTCAACAGAACGAGAGAGTGGAACGAAAACATAGATATATGGGTGAACCCTAAACCCTAAACCCTAAACCCTAATGGGTGAACAAGGATTGAGTAATATGTTTGGGCCCACTTGTGCTGATCACGGGATCAAACTGAATTTCCGGACTTGGCCCAATCCCAAACAACGTCACCGCTGGTTCCGAACCGGACCGAGATCACGGATGAATGCTTTTCTAGTTTTCTTGGTTTGGGGGATTGATTTTGAGAGATTTTCACCAATTTGGATTTTCAGAAGTTAATAGCATTGCACAAACTATCAGATGTATGGGCAGTTCTTTTAGTGATTTCAGGAAACTTCAATCTTAATTCTATTAAAGATGGAATCTATTAAATCTTATTTCTATTAAAGTTGAAACCAGGAAAACAATCACTTCGCAAAGAAGGAAATAATTAAAAATGAGACTTGTTTGTGAAGAGAGAGGTTGAGATCATTGTAAATATCCGAAATATAAATATAAATATATAATAGAGATGCAAAATGCGTGAGATATGCAGTTGAAGGTTAGAAGAAATTAAATAGCATTATTTATTGAGTTGAGAAATCGAATAACAAAGCTCATTCATTCATTCGCCGATTGATCCTAATTTCCTAGCAATTACCCTTATTTTTGACTTATTGCCATTTTCGATCCTCTTTTCTGTTAAACATAACTTTTAATTTCGTGTGCTAGGTTGTGCAATAATATAAGAATGAGAGTATTTGCAAATACTTTTTCTGCTTTTAGTTTAAAAAAGATAAAATTTGTGTTTTCAACTTTTCAAGTGATAGCATTTATTGAAATTAAACACTCTAACGTGAAAAGCTTGAAAGCTAAAAGCATCTATTGATCGAAAGAGTGTTACACTATTTTTGTCAAGCACTACCAACTTTTATTACAATTGAGCAAATCTTTAAGATAATATTTAAAAGTCATTTTTTTTAAAGTAAAAGCAACAGTAAACACTCTTTAAGTGAGGTTGAAAATGATTTTCTCATTGAATGGATTGAAATTGACAAGGACTATTAGTCTTTTTTCTTGAGTTTGTTCATTTAATTTATTTGTAAAAGACTTTTTATACATCTTGTACACAAGCAAGCATATTCAGCGAATGTTATCAAATAAGTTCTGAGTAAATAAAATATTGGACCAAATCGAACGCCTTTTAAAATAAATAAAAGTGTGAGATTTTCCTTGTAATGAGTCACAACAATATGATATTCAATAATGTAAGACATAAATGAAGTTTGCCTTCTGTTGCACCGCTATTAATAATCCAAGTAGACTTAAAACACGAAACAAATGTTGTTTAAAGGACAGTGATTTAAAGTTCTTCAAATATTTCTGTAGGTAATAGCAAGAGATGGAATAGCATCACGTCCCCATAAGTACGACATTTTACATTTAGTTCATCTCATAGTGTACAAAGTTTAGTGAAGTATGCCGGAAAAAAATCTAAGTTTGTGATTAATTTTTTAAGTTGAAACAATTAGGATGCTTTTACTATAATCTGTCTCAGATCAGACCAGACTAGAATAGTTATAAAAACCAAAAAAATCAGACCAGAATACACCAGTTCAGATTAGATCAGATCATACCAGACCAGACCAGCAAATTAAAGTCTAAGTAAAAACATGCGAGAATTGTATTGAGAATATGACAATACGGTTGATATCGTTACAAATATCACGAGTCAAAGACTAAAAAATGATTCTTGGGTTTGATTTCCGGTTTTACGAACGAAGGCATTACGATAAGTCGTTTTTCTTTACCAAATCATAAATCCAAAACCATGATTTGACAGGCACTAATTAAATACTCCGTAATTGATAGAACTAAAAGCATTAAAATCTCTATTTTACTATCGCAATATTTCAAGTATCAACTTTTAGCTACTATACTATACGGTCTACCTTATGTAATTATATATACGGAGTATCAATGAGGATGCTTAAGATCGAAGGAGAACATGCGGGTAGAGCTTTCCGAATTCCTAAATTTTCCCTCTTAAAGACTAAATGTAGAGATTCTTGATGTCGAGAACTAAAAAGTCCCTCAGCTCTTATAATAGTTGAAAGACTAAAAATAGAAAAGTTCAAAGTCTAGTACTAAATGTGTCATTGACGCAATAGTTTGGGGTCATAGGTGACAAAATCTCTTTTTGGCTTTATCAATCACCTTTTTACCAAATAGAGTAAAATTTAACTTGATGTGTTAAATTGCGTAGTAATTAAAACAAATGAAACTAGAGATATTGAATGTCAAATTGATGAAGATGATGAGTATTATATTTTCTTTATTTTGTTAATAAAATGCTTTTCACCAATTTTTGAACACAATTCAACATATTCAACCAATTTAAATGTTTTTACTAAAATTTCACTAATTTTCAACCCATACACTGAATTTTAGTGATAACTCTAAAATAAACGTGATATCTTCTACCACTATTAATATATGAAAGAAACATGTTATTTTACTCCTTTTTATTTCAGTAGTTTCAACTTTCTTTCTTAGATATGAATTTTACACTCGCCTATGTCATCAACCATTCATGCTTGCTGCCCATGTTTTTTTAAAGAGGGGACCGACATATTGCCATATTGGTGATCTGACATCTAAATTTTGGATGGATATCTAATACCCCGGAGTATTATTCTACAATTAAATTTATGAATATTAATAAATATTTGATGATATAATTCTACGTTCAGTTTTTTAAAAAAAAAACAAATCATGTTTTGAAACGTTCTGCCTTTTAAGGAATTCCCAAGTAACTGATGATTATTTCCCAGCAGCTTGTTTTTTTTCTTCTTCTTAGCCGTTCTCAAACTATTTTATAATGCAAATAACTTTTTTTGTTACATTCAAGCGAAAATCATTATTTTCGAAACACTTTTCAACAAATTTTATTTCAAGAAAAGCTTATTTTGATTCTCAAAATCGATTATAAATATAACCAATCATGTACAAATGATCAATTATTGTAATGTTTTAATCTTACCCGCTATATTATTACTCGTATTTCACAAGGCTTTGGTTTTACAGGTATTTCATAATTAAGGCTTTGGTTTTACACTACAATCATTTAGAGCCCGTTTGGTGACCCATTTTTTTGGCTTATCAGGCTTATCAACCAACTTTTTTCACCAAACACGTAATTTTTTATTTCGCGCGTTGAATTGTGTTATAAGCAGAAAACGTAAGGTTGAAGTTACTTTTCTGGCTGTATTGGCTGAAGTTACTGTAGAGAATTATTTTAGCTATTTTTTCATATATTTTTTCATTTTTTTATTAAAAAAAAATATTTTAAATATAATTTTTTCATGAATCAACAGAATCAGCCAATACAGTCACTTCAGCCAGAACTTCATAAATTTCAGCAGAATCAGCCAATACAGCCAATTTTAGTGTTACCAAACGGCTCTTAAAGTGGTCAATTTTTAATGCTTGTTACGGATCGAGAGGCACGGAAGTAACATGAAAACTAGAGAGGAAGGTAGGAGTAAATATTTGAGAAATCGAATAACAAAGCTCATTCATTCATTCACCAATTGATCCAAATTTCCTAGTAATTATCCTTATTTCCGACTTATTGTCCTTTTCGACAATCTTTTCTGTTAAACATAAAATAAAAAATGAGAGTATTTAAATTATTTTATAAATATTTTATAAAAAATTATTTTCATAAAATAAAATAAAAGTTATTTTAGCTATTTAAATATTTTTTCGTGTGCTAAATTGTGCAATAAAATAAGAATGAGAGTATAGTCTATGCTATAAGTACCTCATTTTGGAGGGCATACATAAAAGTGTTGCTTCACTTAAATATGTTGCCCCATTTGTGGTCACACAATAGGAGGAAGTAAAAATGGGTGCCCTAAAATAGGGTACCTTTAGCATTTCTCTTTCAAGTGATAGCATCTATTGAAATCAAACACTTTAACATGAAAAGCTTGAAAGCTAAAAGCATATATTGAAAGAGTGTGTTAAACTGTTTTTCGGTCTTTCTACTACACGAAAGATACTTTCTTTATCAAGCACCACCAACTTTTACGTTTTCAAAATCATTTTTCTCAAATATTACAATTGAGCAATTCTTTAAGATGTATTTAAATGTCCTTTTTTAAGTAAAAGCAATAGTAAACACCCTTTAAGTGAGGTTGAAAATAATTTTCTGGTTGAATTGATTGAAATTGACGAGGCTATTAGTCTTTTTTCTTGAATTCGTTCATTTATTTTATTTGTAAAAGACTTTTAATAAATCTTGTACACAAACAAGCATATTCAGCGAATGTTATCAAATAAGTTGTGAACATATAAAAATTGGAACAAATCGAACGCCTTTTTAAATAGTGTGAGATTTTCTTTGTGCTAAATGAGTCACACCAATATGATTATTGATTAATGCAAGACATAAATGAAGTTTGCCT